TAGGAACAACAAGTAGGCCTGCAGAGCGAGAGCGAAGTGCTCTAATAGGGTGATATGGTACTACAAGGTCATTAAGATAAGATGGGGCCTGATTATTTTGATTCTGGATGTAACAGGGAGCCAATGAAGGGAAGCCAATACAGGAGAAATCTGCTCTCTCTTTCTAATTTTGGATTAACTGAAGGCTGAAAAGTTAAGATAAGACAGGGCCTGATTATTTAAGACCTTGTATGTGTGAGTTTTTAGGATGTGTATGTGAGGAGCAGGAGTTTTTAGGACTTCCTGATAATAATGAATTGCAGTATCCAGCCTGGAAGTAATAAATGCATAAACTATACCATTTGTCCACCATTTGACCTTAGAACTGAAGAAGCTTCTTGGATGAGAGGTGAAACGTCTTCAAGCAACTTAAAGAAGTCCAGACGCTTTTCTTTGCAAGCTCCTTTGAATGCATAAACTAGTTTTTCAGCGTCACTCTGCGACAGGATATTTCTAATGCTTCTGTTGCACATGAATGAAGGAAGTCACTTTATTTGGTACAATTATGTAGGCTTCAGTAAACATAACTTTAAAATACCATAGCAAGAATGTGAAGACATGTTCATGGCAGACATGGTGAAGTTAAGGTTCTCATGACTTATGGATAAATATTACTAATGCATTAGTATCGTTACTAATATTTATCCACTCATGGGACACATGAGAATAATTACTACAGCTGAGGTGATGTTGGACACCTACCTTTGGAAAACTATATTTTGATTGTGCATCTGTCTCGTGTTTGAATGTAAACCTTTAACTGAAGTCAGTGTTGTGTTTCTTTAAATTTATGTTATATATTACTGTCCTCTGACCCTGAGATGGATGGATGAACATAGCACTGTCAGTCTCTGCAGTAATGTAGTAGTGGTATTAGTAGAACAACATCCACTGTGTGCACAGGCTGTAAACATTTTTATTTATGCTGTAACGTTTTAATATGGGAGTCTGTGGGGACTGACTCTCTGCTGGATGCTTTCAGCTAACCACAGCCAGTCAATTTTACCACTATTCTTTTCTGTGTTTCAGAGTCTGAGTCACAGCTGAATGGTAAGATAAAGTTTCTTTGTGTAATGATTTACTTTTGTGTGTAATAAATCTTTAGTTTCATATGAATATTAGTTTGTGAGTGAACTGTAGACTCCCAGGATCACTGTGCCCTCACTCAGCAGTTTGTAATACTGAGAGTTTACAGCTCTTACAGTAATGCTCACTCTGTGTTTTAATGTCGGTCTTCAGTTTGTGGTAAGGCGCCTCTGAACACCAGGATTGTAGGAGGACAGGTGGCTCCTGTTGGCAGCTGGCCCTGGCAGGTCAGTCTGCAAAGATTTGGGTTCCACTTCTGTGGAGGATCCCTCATTAACAGTCAGTGGGTGCTGACTGTTGCTCACTGCTTTAAAACGTGAGTAATGAGGCTGAAGCTGCACACTAAACAAAATTTAGTGGAATAAAGACATTATGAAAACTCCCCATCAGGGGACTAGGGGTGTAACATGATAAATAGCTAACAGGGTAAAAAGTCAAAGATGTCATTTCATTTTAACAATCACAATAACTGTGCATCGTTTCGTTTCCTGATCCTAGCTTTACTGCAACCGGTCTGACTGTGAATCTGGGCCGTCAGAGTCTACAGGGATCTAATCCCAATGCAGCGTCTCGGACAGTAACACAGATCATCAAACATCCAAACTACAACTCTGGTACCAACAACAACGACATCTGCCTCCTGAGGCTCTCCTCACCGGTGACTTTCAGCAGGTACATTTCTCCGGTCTGCCTGGCAGCTTCAAACAGCACCTTCTACAGCGGTGTTAACAGCTGGGTCACCGGCTGGGGCAACATTGGAGAAGGAGGTGGGTCATAAAGACACCTGATTGGTTTTAGAGTAAAGTTGATTATAATGCAAGAAATAAGAGTGCTGTCTCAGAAATATTTAGAGCAATACAATTCTTCTTCTGTGAGCTAAAGAGATTCTGATGACTGCAAACACATTATTTTTAAAATGTTTCATTTTTAAATTTGAATTGTGCCTTCAATAGAAAATAATGGCTAGAACAAACCATCTGATGCCATCTGTATCTCAACGTCTTGGTATCTTTTCAGGCATCTTGTTGCCATAAATTCTTTGGCCTCTCGTTCAGAGAGATAATCTTGCATTCTTTGGTTCCAGATGTTCTTCAGCTGTAAGAAGGCTTTTGCTTTGTCTGTTCTCCCAACTTTTAATGACACTCCCAATGTAAGGGAAGGAATCCATGTCTGTGTTACCACTTCTGAGACAGCTATATTTATTTTCATGATCTTGATTTTCTCTTTGCAGATGTTAAGTCTTACTTATGCAGAAACAGCTGCAAGCTTGCTTGTCTTATCTTTTTATTGCCAGGTAGCACTCGCTTTTCACGTTTTTCCTGTTTACTGAATACATTTTATATTCAAATGTAAGCAACCTAGAAATGATATGCAGCAGGTCATTGTGTGGTGAGTTGTGTACCAGTCTTCAACAAAAGTCTTCCAACTCTGCCATGCTCCACTTTGCCTTGTCGCATTTCTCCTTGTTTACAATGTCTTCATGAAACATTTCTCCATGTTGGTCATTGACATTTTTATGTTCATGCATCTATAAATTGTCCTGGCTGGCAAGGCGGGCTATGTGGAGGTGAGGTGAGGACCCGTGCAGGCAGAGGTTGTGATGAGAACGAGCTTTATTTACAAGAAGTGCAGGATTCATCAGGAGTGGAGATAGTAAACACAGGGAACTAAGAAAACTCTAAACCGGGAAACTAATGAAACCAAACTGAAACTTGAATCCAGGGAGAAATCAGAGCTGACGAAACAAGGACGCAAAGACATAAGACACATACCTTCAAAGTAAAACAGGAAGTTTGTGTGTGTGTGTGTGTGTGTGAAAAAGATTTGTGTTTGTAAAAATATATTTACACAAGTTACAAATTTTTTTGTTAAGGTCTGTTTACAGATACAAAGCAAAAACTGGACTTATGTGCCCTCGCTTGTGTGTGGGTTTCAACAATTATGAATTTTGACCCGATTTTTCTTCCCTTCAGCTGATTGGTCAATGTCCTGTCAATCACAAATTTAACAGTCCAGTCAGAGAACAGATGGGTTTGGCGCTTTACTGAGCTTATTACTACAATTTATTTATGACCACAATTTGAGCCCATACAGTTCCACCTTTCCCCTCTGATTCCAGCCACTTACTAAAATATGGAATACCACATTGGTGCCAGTTGGTCTGCCAGCCTCTCTGGTACTGCCGCCTGAACCCACTATCCCCTCTGCAGTGGAACAACAGACCACACCCTGCCACAGAGCATATGATAATATTCTGGTGCTTTACAAGAACTACTGTCTGAAGACGGACAGACAAATAAGCTCTACCTAAATTTTTCCAGGTGTGATTCACATTACTGTAAATTAGAGGTGTTTTATCCCACTGGCTTGCTCCTGAACAAAGTCAATCTGATACATGTTTCTGTAGTGTTAATGTTATGAAATGGCTGTGGCAGTCAGGATGTAGGACCCAAAATGCAGGACACTCAGACGGAGGGGTAAACTCCTAGAGGCTGCTTTATTGCAGTTGCAGAAAAAACACCCTCCATAAACAATAAACTTGCAAAAACAAACCAAAACCAGGAACTAATACTAAACACAAAGATACTGGAGACAAGAGACTAGGGACAAGGACCACGGAGGGAAAGAAACGGAGGGAGATCAGGGGCGGTTACCCCTGGACTGGCAGACCGGGGTGGTAGTTCCAATTTTTAAGAAGGGGGACCGGAGGGTGTGTTCCAACTACAGGGGGATCACACTCCTCAGCCTCCCCGGGAAAGTTTATGCCAGGGTGCTGGAACCTCGGATACAGGAAGAGCAATGCGGTTTTTGTCCTGGTCGCGGAACACTGGACCAGCTCTTTATCCTCTCAAGGATACTTGAGGGTTCATGGGAGTTTGCCCAACCAGTCTACATGTGTTTTGTGGACTTGGAGAAGGCATTCGACCGTGTCCCTCGGGGTGTCCTGTGGGGGCTGCTGCGGGAGTATAGGATGTCTGGCCCATTGCTATGGGTCATTCAATCCCTATACAACCGTTGCAAGAGCTTGGTTCGCATTGCCGGCAATAAGTTGGACTCGTTCCTAGTGGGTGATGCCCTTTGTCACCAATTCTGTTCATAACTTTTATGGATAGAATTTTTAGGTGCAGCCAAGTGACGAAGGGCTTTCACTTCGGTGGCCTCAGAATCTCAACTATGCTTTCCGCAGATATGTGGTTCTGTTGGCTTCAATGGGTAGCGGCCTCCAGCTCGCACTGGAATGGTTCGCAGATGAGTGTGAAGCAGCGGGATTGAGGATCAGCACCTCCAAATCTGAGGCCATGGTTCTTATCCGGAAAGGGTGGAGTGCCCACGTCGGGTCAGAGATGAGTTCCTGCCTCAAGTGGAGGAGTTTAAGTATCTCGGGGTCTCGCTGCATCAGTCCCTCGTGGTGAAGAACGAGCTGAGCTTAAAAGCAAAACTCTCAATTTACCGGTCGATCTACGTCCCTACTCTCACCTATGGTCACGACTGAAAGAACGAGATAGCGGATACAAGCGTTGGAAATGAGCTTCCTCTGAAGGGTGGCTGGCTTTTTCCTTAGAGATAGGGTGAGAGGTTCGGCCATCTGGGAGGGGCTCAGAGTAGACCCACTGCTTCTCCACATCGAAAGGAGCCAGCTGAGGTGGTTCGGGCATCTGACAAGGATGCCTCCTGGGCACCTTATGGGGAGGTGTACCGGGCATGTGCCACCGGGAGGAGGCCCCAGGGCAGACACACGACACGCTTGAGAGATTATATCTCTCGGCTGGCCTGGGAACGCCTTGGTATCCCCCCAGGCAAGCTGGAGGAGGTGGCTGGGGAGAGGGAGGTCTGGGCTTCTCTGCTTAGGTATAAAGCGAAAGAAGATGGATGGATTGCTTTTAAAACATGAGGTTATTATAAAATGAGGTTGATACATGAGGAATCGTGGCTACAAGATCATTCTAGTACCAAACTTATGCTGACCACCCACATGTTCCACAAGCAGATAGGAAAATAAAAGTTGAACTTTTTGAGTAGATTTTTGTTTGATTTTTTTGTCCATCTCAGTGTCCCTTCCTTCTCCACAAAACCTGATGGAGGTGGAGGTTCCTGTTGTGGGAAACAGGCAGTGTAACTGTGACTATGGAGTGGGAACAATCACTGACAACATGATCTGTGCCGGGTTACCTGATGGAGGAAAGGACTCCTGTCAGGTGATTGTTGTTACCTGTGTTTGGCACATTTTCACCTTC